TGAACAGGTATGTCACTTGGCCTTATGTCACACATGGCTTTTCAGAGTTAGCAGAAATCACAAAAGGAAAAAACCTATCATATTGAGGTTGTGATAAAATATGACCTTTCAAAAGCTTGAAATGACATTACATCATTAAGACACACGAGGGCACTCTAATCAACCAGCAAGGGGAAACAGAAAAGAGTGAAATCAGGCTGACATTTTAACAATCTTACTGCAATAGTTGAAATCAAGCACTGGTAAAATTTTCAATGCTTCTAATTTATAGCAAGAGATTTTCTGTTTTTGATCCAAATTTCAGTAAGCCAAAAGGATTCTACAACTATGTAAATTGGAGAGAGAATCCAATACTCTCAGATCCTGGGTGAGGATTAACCACACTCATTTCCAATGATTTGTTAAACTGACCTCGGGGATGGTTTTGCCTCTTTCAAGCAAAGATCACCTATATAATCTACAACTGAACTTGGTGTTTTACTTATCTTCCACTGGGAGCAGTCGTGAATTCATTCCTTTGCTCCATCTGTTTTCTCAGGAGAAATGGCAAGTTAAAAGTTTGAGCCAGTAGAAATGAAACAGCATTTTGCACAAAGGAGCACAGACCATTGAATATATTTCATGGCATTCTCAAGTTTTTAAATTTGTAAATACAACTACAGCATATAATTTCCGGTATCAAATTCAGTAAGTATAGTATAACAAGCATTTAAACGACCTTCTTTTCAGACCTTTGACAAAAGAGCAACAGTAACTCTGCAGAGAGCCATGGATTCTGAGGCAATCAGGCTTACTCACAAAGGATTATCATTAATCTTAAAGTCACATTCAAATTTGTGCCTCAGCAAAATTATAAATAATTCCATGTCATAGATCTTTGGGGTCAAATGTAATGGTTTAAAATGGAAAGTGTTAAAACTTTGAATGCCAAGGGTATACTGTGGCTGCATAATAAATCTTTGTTGACTGAATAAGCTAGAAGATTCGCCCCATCTCTGGTGCTATCTATAGAAGCACATACACGTACTGCATTCTTGAATTGCTTCTTACTATTTTAGTCACTTTAATCTTTACCTGTTTAAATGGCTAGATTCCTGGCCATGATATTTCAAACTTAATTTCTGTCAATGTACTCAGTATTTTTTGTTCTATGGTCTTTGGATAAGGACCTTGGTGAATTCTAGTTTCTATCCTTAACTGAATTGGCCATCAGGGTACCCAATTAGGCTCTATCTATGCTAATAAAAGAACATGCCCTAAAATGTGCTGTTTAGAAGACACATTTCTTCTAATTTTCCTGTTCTTTCTAAAATGATTCTGGTTAATTGAAAATGCCAATGAATTTTCTTCAGTTAAATAAATCTTCCCAAATACTGCATATTATAAATATAGGCAGTTATTAAAATCCTTTGAGTTGGTATCTAAGGAAATATTCAAGTATTACATTAAAATGGCATCCATTGTTTTTGTGTGGGTATGTGAGAAGCCGCCAAGTCAGTGATGCGCAAAGTTAGAGAACTATAAATGGTATCACACAGCTAAATTTGGACAATACAAAGAAGACTAACTTTAGCACTCAATTGGTATTCTCTGATATGGGGCCCTTTGGATTATCAAGAGAGTTCCCAAACTTTATTTATTTATTTTTTTACCAATAACCTTTCTAAAGATCTGAATTGAACCAAACTCACATTTAAAGCTAATTTTTAAAATAGCCTTGAGTAAAATTTCTCTTGGTGTGTGCTCTACTTTCTTTAAGAGATAACCTAGCATTCTACCACAATCCCTGCAACTCACTAAGCAACAGACTCTTGAGTCTGGGAGACGTGGGTTCAGATCTTGCACTATCACTTTTAATCTATGTAACTTCAAGCCACTTCATCTCCCCAAAGCTTGCATTTTTTTAAATCTGTAAAATGAGAATACTATCACCTAGATCAAAGAATTAAATGGGACACTATATAGCAAATACCTAGCCCACTGCCTGGCATATAATAATTACTCTATAAAATGTAGCAATTATTCCCTTTTACTGTAACAATTATTGTTTACTGTAATTTTTTTTTTTAAGAGACAGGGTATCACTCAGTAGCAGGGACTACATGTGTGCACCACCATGACTGGCTACATTGTCCAGGCTAGTCTCAAGCAATCCTCTCGCCTCAGTCTCCTGAGTCACTAGGATTAAAGGAGTGAGCCAGTGATTCTGGTTTGTTTATTGTGATCTTTTTTAACTTCACCTATTAATCTTTTGCCAACAGTATTCACAGACCTTGATAACCCCTCAGAAATTATTTATTGGACCACTATTTAGTGGGGTCGCTCTATATGCAGGCTTTGGGAATACACAGAGTCTACATGAGGCAGGGCAGACACAAAAGATAATTATAAGTGCTACAAATAGGAAGTGTGCCATGGAAGCATATGACAGGGGTACCTAATTCAAGGAAGCCTTGAAGAATGGAAGCCTTCCTATGTTGATAGGAATTCTGCATTACAGATTTTTTTTTTTTTTTAAGAGACAGGGTCTCACTCTGTCATGCAGGCTGGAGTGCAATGGTCCGATCATCACTCACTATACCTTGAACTCCTGTGCTCAAGTGATCCTCCTGCGCACCGCAACGCTCAGCTAATTTTTACATTTTTTGTAGCAATGGGATCTCGTTATGTTGACCAGGCTGATCTTGAACACCTGGGCTCAAGTGATCCTCCTGCCTCTGCCTCCCCAAATTCTGGTATTACAGGTGTGAGCCACAGCACCCAGTCCCCAGATCATTTATCAACCAACCACCAAATGAGTTTTAGTATGTAAAACATGATTCGAAAGTGAAGAAGGAAAGAGTATCAATACAATAATTCCTTTTCCTAGAGGCATCTTTTGGTTCTTAATGGAAAAAAATAATTTTCTCCTTTTTTCCTTTTTTCTCTTCCATGCTTTCACATCTCTAAATAAATTAAGCAGGAGGATTCTATAAGCAAACCAAAGTGTATGTAAAGTAAATCCTGATTTTCTGATACCCTCACAAATGAGTTTTCATGGAAAAACCGTTTCATAAATCTCTGCTTTCTTAAACCGAACACACCGAATGTGATTTATCCTATACTGAGGACACAGGATTGTTACAGTAAGTGTTATAGTGGGTGGTTCCGAGGACAAACCGAGCGGCACATGGAGAGTCGGAGAATCAAGGTTTATTTGCTGGTGGGCTCAGAGGGGTCTGGCCACCAAATTCTGAGACGCGTCTACCTGAATTTTCCCACTTTTATTAGGTTGGGGTGGTCCGAGGGGTGGGGTCTTAGGTGGCTAATGTGCCAGGTAATAGGTAAGTTGATGTGCCAGGAAATAGGTTAGTATTATGTCGATATGCCAGGTAATAAGTTTAGTATTATGTTGACGCACCAGGTAATAGGTTAGTATTATGTTGATAAGGGTCTTCCGAGGGGTAGGGGTCTTCCGAGGGGTAGGGGTCTCAGGTGGTTGATGTGCCAGGGAATAGATGGGCGTCTTCCTTATCAGGATCTGAGTTCCAGCCATTAAGGTATCAAGCTCTTTGGCTCCTATATGCTGAACCCTTTTCATGGAAGGCCCTGACTTACTTATCCTTCTTATCCGTTCAAAAGTCACCTTTCCAGAAAACTGTCCCTGACCTCCCCAATCATCATTTGTCCTCTCAATTCCCAAAGCACTTTAAATATGCCTCTCTTTTACCAGGAACACAGTGAATTATAATTTTCGCTTACTTTTCTATCTTTTTCATTAGATTGTATGCTTGCTAAAGGTAAGTGCTATTACTTTTAATTCTGCATTCTTAAAAGTTTAGCACATTGACCCAGAGGCAAATCGTTATTCTCAAGGTTTACTGACTTGTATTCTTCCCCTTACATGAATGGCTTTATATGAAGACAGTTTTGGAGCTGAATTCACTTTTGATACTTTCTCTGACTTCTCAGAAAACAGCTGACTTTGCAGAGTGTATTCCTTTAGCACGGTTGATTATCAAATGGGAGCAGGTGGGTTGTGTGCTTTGGAAAAACATTTGAGTAACCATATAAACGGGGGAAAAAAAGAAAATAAACCTTTTGTTTTTGTATAAAAATTACAGAAAGTAAAGCTTGACAATAAATTGGCTGCAGAAACATGAGTTTTAAAAACTGAGAAACAGCATCTCACACCTGCTTTTCTACTCTATGCTATTACTCATTTTAATAGAGTTGGAATAAACTAACTAGTTGGATCTGTGTGCACAATGAGAGTAAAATGGCTCAAAACAAAGGTCTAAGAAGCTTTCCTATAAGCCAAGTGTTTGAGCTTTGTGATGCAGACTTCTCCAGATAGATAATGGCATTCTTCATCTAACCTTGGCTCATGCAATCTCTACAGTCCTAAAATGGAATGCCTTACACTTCCTCTCTGCCCATCCAAATCCTTCGCAGGGTTTAGCACTCAAATCCTCCAAGATTACACCTGAACTCGTCTTTCTCTTAATTCCAAGGGCAGTTAGGTGTCCACATGACAGAGTATTTAATAAGTGATTGGGTTCTGCCGGATATTTCTACTCTGTGCTCGTATCTAACCAAAGTCTGAATAACGGTAGGGAGACAGGCTACTCAAGTGCCAGTCGAGTAGAAAGAGCTTGTTAACAACCTATTATAACACTCACGTGGAAGCTGAGAAACAACTACAAACCTAGTTCACAGTTGCCCAACCTTAGTTCCTGGGTGAAGCAATGTGACAGAGTTAACCTCTTGTCTGACTAAATGAACCCTCCAATGAGTGAAAAAGACCTCTTGGGAGATGGGGGGCGCAGAGGGGGGAACAGGAGAGGAAATTCAAACCTCAACAACAAAAAGCAGCTTTCCTCAGCCCACTCCACTTCCCATCCCAGTTCCCAAACTTTGCCGCCCCTCCTGTGCGACGGTTCCCAGGCAAAAGTGGAAACGAAGAGGTACAAAAGAATATGGCACAACCTCTGCCCTCTGACCTAAGAGCAAAAACTCACCAGTTTCATATTGGACTTTTGGTTGCTCAAAATCAGTCACTGAACTCCACACACTCGGGAAGCGTCTTCCGGTTCAATCTCCGGCACCTGCCCACCAAGAGCATCGCGGGACTTGCAGTCTTTCGTCCTCACGCCCCTTTCCTGGAAATCATGGGAGATGTAGTCTCTCCTGCAGGCATGACGGGAACTGTGGTCGTCTTTCTTTTTCCTTCCTTTCCTCTCTGAACTCCTCCCTCCGTCAGCTCAAATTCATCCCCGCCGCCAATTCATCCTCCCTCTCCACCCCAGCATGATATCATGTCCCCCATATGGGCCTGGGGCCCATGGTATTCTGGGATGTGTAGTCCCAACGGCTCCAGCTCTCCTTTCCCCTCCTCCCTGAGGGAAGGCGGACGGGCGCGGGACATGCTGGGAGTTGTAGTTCTCTGGGGCCCCTAGGCGCCGGGCCCGCGCTTTTACTCAGGGGAGGCAGGAACTACAACTCCCAGGGATGCCCGGCGGCAGCAGGTGGGAGCGGGGCTGTTGATATCAATATGGCGGTTGTCAGCCAGACAAAGACAGTCAGTCTGATGTGATTGAGACAAGGGAGGTTTTCAGGGGGAGACTGGGAGATAGGGGCCTCCCCTCCCCCTTCTCCTCTTCCTGAGCCGGCCTCCACCCCTCCCCAGTCCCCTCCCGACGGGCGCCCCACGCGGAAGATACCCCTCCCCCTCCCGCTTTCCCTCCTCCCTACCTCAGCCCTTCGTACTGGGACGTTGGGGAGGGGGCTGTGCCGGGCGGAGAGAACTCAGCAAGGATTCTGAGGTGAGTCGAGCGGTTTTGAAGCCGGACTACCTCAAGTCTCTTTCCTCACTTCTTTCTCTTCACTTTAAAAACATTTTTTTGAGGATTTTTTGGGAGGAAGTGAGCGGGCGCTGGGGATGGGTCTCTTAAGCGGCCCAATTGAGAGAAGGGAGGAAGCAGTGGGCTTCCGACTGGGTGACCCGGGCGCGGGGTGTGGGGTGCGGCAGTTTGTGGGGGACGGTAACTGAAAGGCGTCGACTGCTCCGCAACTCTTTTCTCCTGATTTCCTCCGCTATGGGTGGAAGGTTTGAATCCTGGAGGTGGGGGGTCTCCGTTTGGAGTTTGGGAAACTGTGAGGTGATTTTTGAGGTGTGTTGGTTTGTTTGGGGTGTAGAACTGTGTTTCAAACTGTGTGACGTGTACTCGTGTGCTGTGCTCGTCTTGAAGAAATGTCTGTAGATAGGAAGTTAGATAGCTAGAGTCGTAGCTTTCGCTGGGCCTGGGCTGAGCAGCGTGCGTGAGGTCCTGGTGCTGGACGTTTGGGCTGGCGACGTGCTGCGGGGTAGCTGGGCTCAGCAACTCGTTTGTGTCCCGTTGCCCGCTCACACTCCGCCACCCGCCTCCGCCCCCTCCCCTGGACGAACCTCCACCCCGAACTCCGGGCAGGAGAACTGTAGAGATGATGCGGTTTGAGGATGGATTTTTGCATCCCCAAGTAGACAGATAGGTGGGAAAAGAAAAGTGTTTCTTAGTATTTTATTCCGGAACCGTGTTTTGGTTACACTATTGGGGCTACTTTGAAAGGAGTCCTCCACCCACCTTCACCCCGAAACAGTAGGTAGGGGTATCTTGTCTCCGTGTTAAATAGATTAGTAATTACTTGAGATTTGGGGGCGTGGGGTGGGGGTCGCGAGTGCTGGATCGGGTACGGACCTGTGTGTGTCTGCTAAAGAGACAGAATGTCTGTTGTGTATCTTGAGATAGGGCGACTTATTTTTGTAGTAGGAAGAACTGTTGGAGATTATTTGGGGTGGAGGGGGGTGCGCTGAAAGGCGCTGCTTGTATTTTTCTTCTACTCCACCCTGTTCTGTCTTGCATTTGCCTGAAAGCCGGTATGGAAGAGCGAAGAAGCATTGGGTGAGTGAAGGGAAGAATGCAGTTGGCTTTCAAGATACTACACTATGTGAAGTTGAATGGTATAAAGTGATCGCTGTCTTTATTTATGCTGAAGCTTTAAAAAAAAAAACCTCACGTATCATACAGAGTGATGTGACTAGTTCATTTCTGTGGGATTCTGCAGGTATAGAAACCTCTGTCTTCCCTTTTCCTTCCTTCCTTCCTCCTTTCCTTCCTTCCTTCAGTCCTTTATTGGCATAGTACATTTCTCTTCCTGATGAACATAATACCTCCTGTGCCTCTTTATTTAGTTTGTGCTAATATGGTTGTGCTTTTTGTGGTTTTACTGTAAAATGCATCATTAGATGTATTTGTTGTTATTTCGCATTTATGCCACAAATAATTATCACATCAGGATTGCAGTGCTTTGCATTAAACTTATCTTAAAATTGCACAGCTAAGTTGCTAGATACTAGATATGTCAAGTTTGGAAAATTTGAATTCTGAGTATTTTTTCAATTTTCAATTAGAGTTAAAAAGGGAAGAGGATTTCAACATCTCTTGTTTCTCACGGTCTTTAATATTTAATAACATACTAGGAGAATTTAAGATCACATATTTTGTACTTCCTTCAATCTGAAATGTAAGTTTTTTAATAACTCTTCTTCCGTGGCAGTTTTTTAGTGTAATGGACTCTTAAATTGGCATAATTTCTATTTAGACTGCTAAGAATGTAATATATTTACATATTTGACTCCAAACTTATCAATTCTTGAATTTGCCACCTATCAATAAGGGACCTTTAGATTCTATAAAAACTGAAAGCCACATAGATACAGTATGCAATTTTGTGGTATATTTTATAACCTTTGATTTGAAATTTCTGCTGTGGGTCATTCCCACAAATAAGGGGACTGTAAGCGTGAGGTAGCGTATATATTTCGATTGACCTGAATAGAAAAAAAAAATTGATGTGTCTTCTAAATCTCAAATTTAGAATATAGAGTATGTTGATCCAAAGCTGAACCTTTAGTTTGTTATAGGCCAAGATTTTCAGAATTACTGGTTTTAAGCTTGTATCTTAACCTCTGAAACATTACTTTGCAAAAACTGGAGAAAAATCCTATGTAACTAAGTAATGGAGTGTTTTGTTTTTCTGAAACATATTGTGATAGGTATAGAGCTTTAAAATGTTTAATAATTATTTTAGAAATAAGCTAAAATGTTTGTAAGAGCTGGAAAAATAAGAGTATTTTCTCTTCCACCTACCTTTACCTCAAATTTTCTTTTTGTTTGTTTGTTTGTTTTTCCTATGGGAATGCAAAGTTATTTACTGGGAAAGCATTCATTAAACTTTTTCTGACCAGTAGTGGGGTCAAAATCATTATATGTAAACCAAATATATTCCTTGTAGTCCTTGGGATGATTCTGTTGCATTTTAAGCACCGGGCATTAAAATGATGTAAAGCCTTTACTGCAGGTTAAAGCATAAAACATTCTCAGCATGTGGAAGTCATGTGGTTTACAAAAAAGTACAAAACCAGGGCATTGGTGCCTGCCCAGCTTAAAATTTCATCCCATATCTGTGAAAGACACATATATTTTAATGTGATCTTCTACAGGTGACTTCTAAACATGTCACCTGTATTATGAGAAGTTGAAAATCTAAATTGTTAACTAATCTGTTGCTAGTTTAGTGTACTGCATGTAGTGAACACTATTTGTGGTCATGAATTTGCTTCAAGGAAAGGAGCCTTTGCTTTATGTTGAATGCCTCTAGTGAAGCTTAATTTTTACCTCTGTATGAACAGATTTGTGCCAACTCTTTAGTTAAACGTCACTAATAGAAACTTAATAGCTCAGTATTGATAACTTACAAAATATATTGCAACAAATCTCTCGTTTCATTATTTAAAAAATAGAAGTGACCAGTTTATGGCAATTTTTGTGGCAGATGTTGATTGGAATTGCATTGCTTCTTTCAGTAGATGCTGACTACATTGAGAATATTCATGCTTAATTTGTTCATTTTGAGTCTCCTGTACATTATATTCAGTCCATCCCACAGCTGCCATGTTTCCTGTTAAAGCACGTTCTTGTTTTCTGTTCATTTCATTGCAGCTCTTCTGTTATACTTTTTATGCAGCTCTTTAAACTTGAATTATTTCTTTTGGGAATTAAACATTCTAGAATGTTGTCATAAACGAAAGTTGGTATACTACTCAACTTTTTAAAAACGTGAACATTTATAGATAAACTTGAAAGTGCTCATTGAAAATGTGTTTGTTTTGTTTGTTTTGTGAACCGCTTTATTTAGTATTGTGGCTTCCAGAATTAATTTTATAGCTCACCTTGCTATTTGGCTAGATTTTTCTGTTAACAGTTGGCTTTTACTTCTCACGTTAGTAGAACTTCAGTTTATTAAAAGAACTGTTATGAATGGAAAGCACAGCTAATGTACCTTTATATTTGTGTGTGTATGTATATATATTTGTATATATATATGTATATATGAAATTGGTATATATCAGACATACAGCCCATAAAAAGTTTTGAATCTGACCCACAAATAGCAGGGGATTCAGAACTTTGGCTCAAACCAGAATCCAAAGAGTAACTACCACCACATGCTGTCCACTTTATAGAAGCTGTGGAGATTTTTCAGTATCATTCTAAACCATTATTTTAATAGATTTTGCCAAAATATAGTTCTGTCAAAATGAAAGCTATCAATATTGAAATTTTTCTCAAAATAGTAGTATTAATATTGAGTAATATGTAACTCGGATTCCTAGTGCAGCTGTCCCCCAGATGGCCTTTACTCGACTTAGGGCCCATCAGAGGTGCAGAGTTAAGATTTTTCTGTGTGTTTATTTGATGTAAAAGTTTTAGAGTCTATTGAAATCAGTGTTTTAGATACAATAACTCACTTTCTTTAACTTTAAATGAAGCAAGTTGGGAATTTACTATAACATATTCTTGGACACTTTCCAAGAGCATTTAGTTACTGGAAGGGCCCTGGCCTTAGCATAGTTTTTACCCTCACAGTGGTAATAAGGTTGAAGTTACAGTAAATTTTTCCAGTGGTTATTATAATCTTCATTCAGAGTTTTACAGATCCTTAGGCTATAAGATTAGTGTTTTTTGTTTTGTTTTTTAACGTTTGCAAACGAAGAAAAGCTAACAGTAGTCTGGTTTTAGCTTTGAAGTGATCAATTATTTTAATTTTTTTCACTCTTAAAACAGGTGGCACCAGGCCGGGCGCGGTGGCTCAGCACTCTGGGAGGCCGAGGCGGGCGGATTGTTTGAGCTCAGGAGTTCGAAACCAGCCTGAGCAAGAGCGAGACCCCGTCTCTACTAAAAATAGAAAGAAATTAATCGGACAACTAAAAATATATAGAAAAAAATCAGCCAGGCATGGTGGCGCATGCCTGTAGTCCTAGCTACTCGGGAGGCTGAGGCAGAAGGATCGCTTGAGCCCAGGAGTGTGAGGTTGCTGTGAGCTAGGATGACGCCACGGCACTCTAGCCCAGGCAAGAGAGTGAGACTCTGTCTCAAAAAAAAAAACAGGTGGCACCAGACTCCTTCCTTTTAGATGATAAAGTGATTCTAATCCACTCAAAGGACATTTAGTGTTTTTTTTTTTCAAATTTAGAGTGCTGATTATGATTAAAATATTACTAATCGCCGTATACTGGATATATTCTCTTGCTGCCTCTGTGTTTATCTTATGTCTAGTGATGGTCTACATGTGGTGTATTGAAAACATTTAATAGCTCTCATTACCATATGCATACATATTAAACAATGAATATGGAGTTGCCAAGCGGCAATAACTTTCATGTATATAGTTACAATTTTTATAGAAGCGAAGTCAAATACTGTGAGTACTGCTGAAATGAGGA